ATATAAAAAATAAAAAGTAAAAGTAAAAAAGTAAAATAAGTTTCCCAGCTGAGACTCGAAACCCGGAATCCGGTGTAGGAGACGGATGTTCTAGGCGGTATTTAGGTCTCACTGCGCTCTCTTAAGGTATATCGCCATGGATTTACACGGTACGTGATGTGTTATTATTCTGTTATCGCACCCTCCATCGCATTGTATGAAATAGAATTTTATGAAATTTTAAAGCTTTTAAATTATTTTGTTTCAGCCCAGAACCACCTCCACAGACGGCTGATTCTGAAAATATCTTTAGTTTTCCTCTAAAGCCTGCGGAGTTCTCTAGTTAATGCGAGTACGAACTAATTCGGCTGAAGAACTTATCGCTTACATAAAGAGGCTAATACCTTGTGTGGTGTGATACAGTATCTTTAGTCCTAGCGGGTCGTTGGTCTACGGGTCGTTGGTCCTACGGTGCACGCAGGAACACGTAATTTTTTTCTTTACTTGATTTGTTAATTAAATTTTTAATTGAAATTTTTTATAAAAAAATTAAAATTAATATTTTGATTATTTTTTTTAAATGTAATTTTAATGCTTTTTTTAAATTTAGACAAATTCTTTAAATTTAAATTACCCGCGATCCAACGACGCCCGTAGGACCAAACCGTGTCTACGTCACGACACTGAGGCAAGCGCTAAATGGCATCCGCACGCACTACCAGCCACATCAACACACCACCAGTACAACACCCGTGCTAATCTACCACCCCACCAGCTGGCTAAATGCCCGATTTATCTGCGCGGGACACATAAAACAGCTGTTAAAATTATTTCCACGCTGAATCAGAACAGCGTAGTTATGCTGCTCTGTTAACAACAAGTATACACACATTAGGCCAGCATCACTGTCCATTAGTACTGGCAAGCTTTTCGGCAAGTACCATCTAAATACACACCATTAGCGCGACTGAAGTTATTTCTACATGGCCGCTAAAACAGCTCATTTACCGTAACCTATTGTCCGCCCTAACGTCCATACCCCACATCGTGCATCTACGTGGCCGAGGGGGCGTAAACAACTCACTGCCTTACTCGCCATTGGCCGCCCACTCTATAAGCACTCTAAAAACTGACCATAGGCCGATAATCGCGCAAACCCTATGCCCGTCCCGGCTGGCGCGAGGCAGTGATTGTAGAAGATATTGGTAGTAGGAATCGCGATTCCTCTTGACAAGATTGGGGTATAAAAGAGCCGGCACGAAAGAGACACGGGCTCTATGTGTTCACCTACGTCTGTGCTAGATTTATGTGTAGTGCGCAACCTTTAGTTTATCCCTGTGTGAATTGTAACAGTGTTTAGTGAAGTATAAATATAACGGTGAACAGGCATTGTAAAGCGCAATTACCAATTCTAACACAATAGAAGTGAATAGGAAAGGTTGAAGTAGGAGAAGGAAGAGCCTCCGGCAAAAGTGCCGATTTAACACGGAAATCAGGCTTCACTAGTTTGTAGCTTATTTAAGGTGTAATTGATAGAATGTTTTTTGGATAGTTTTTTTTGTTGTTGATGGATGATTGTTTGATTGGAATCGATGAGCGATTAAGTTGCATTGGCTTTGTATAGAGGCAAGCATACCATTCTTTCCAGAACCTACAGCATCCGTAAGCAATTCTCGTATACGCACGCGCTGCAGTTGCGCTCGACACGTGTGAACTGGGCCCCATATTTGCGTAATAACCGGCATGTGTCGCACAGCTTCGTATCAACATTTAATGAAATTACGTGGGTTAGTCTGTAGAGATATTGTGGCCGCTAACGGTGGCGCTATTGTAGATGTTCTCACTCTCCCGTACGCTCTACGTAAACATAACGTTGAACATCACATTAACATTGAACTCGGGCATATACCAATAGACACCGCGCACGCGCGACACACACACACACACACACACACACACACACACACACACACACACACACACACACACACACACACACGCGCACATACACACACAACCAAACATATACAGAGTTACAGACAGACACATATATATAAATATATATGAAAACAAGGGCAAATTTTGCTATAAAGGTAGAAGTATCTTTAGTCTTACTTATAAGACTGGAATCATTTACATAAAGTTGAAGGAGACTGTTTTGTATGTCCGTGCTACTACATCTGACGACGCACCTGAATATCCCCCTGCCTTCAAATAAACAATAATTAAACAGTAAATAATCAAACGGTGTCAGTAAGTGATCATCAACAACTGTGTCAGTAGGCAGAAATGATTGCCGTGTATTCGATAGCACTTGACGCGCCTCTATGTTAGTAAGCTTTCATTTGGCTCGTGTCACCCGTACTGATTACCGTTATTAAAGCCGTTATATGGGTTATCGGGATCATGTTCAACCTATCGAATGATGCTGGTACAAGCACTAATCTCCCATGTCGATATTCGGCGAGCTATTATGGGTGCATCAGTGTCTCATAATTGTACACCAACATGACAAGGGTGCAGTTCATCACCGCCTAGCCTGGGCATTACTGTGAATATTTTATGGGGTGAATTAAGGCGCTGTGTGGTGCCTTGCCTAATGGATAGCAGTTCGCATCATGCAGGGCAACAAAGTTACCACCATGTGAACATAAAACTATGAATTTATACCTATGAATACGTGCTTACGGATATACATATACATAGGGGCGCATGTCCTATGTATACCTTTTAGCGATATGCAACTATTTCAGGGAATGGTAGTGGGGTTTATGCTCTGCCTTGTGAATTGTTATAATGAATAGTTTCATAGCCGACAAATACTGTCGGAATTACGATATTATAAGAAACCGACGCATAATAATGGCGTAACTACGAAACATAAAATTCGTTTTAAGTTTATGGCCTGCAAGTATATGCATGATGCTTTATATTAACAAATATTAGTGTTCGACATATTGTTGCCAAAAACTAAAACTAAAAAGGTTATTCTTACACATAATGTATTTACATAGGGAAAACATCAAATTCATTCCAGAGAAATATAGACGTATTTGTACGCCTTGATGATCTTTTAAACTGACGATTATTTGACTAGTTTTCATTTATAGAACATTCTCTACTTAACTCGTACCTCTCGCCAATAGATTTCGTATATTTTTGGGTTAGCCTCATCATCTATGTGTGGCCGTAGCGCGCCGCCTACAGCTGTGGAATGCGTTTGTATTATTCCACGTTGCCGAGTTGATCATATCATGGATGTTCGTCCGTCGGGTCGGGTTCATGGTGTTGCATCATTACTCACCTAGGTACACGTAATGGCCACTCAGGCGCTGCTACAGCCCTAACTACGTCCAAGAGATAGCCAGCAATATTCCGGCCGTCATTATGTGTCATTATGGAACTTTATGACAAGATGATGCGTCGGCAATGCTACACAGCTATCATCATTTAGATTGTGATGATGTGCGCAGCGGCAACTGCCCGTATGGCACATTCATAATTAAAGCCGATGACATATGACAACGCTGCGAGATGTGTGTGAATATGTGACCCATAACGGTGATGCTGTCGTTTCATTTCGTCTGCATATATGTGTGTGTTATGCGTGAAAACACACGACACTCACTGACTGCATGATAATAATATTTGTTAAATCATATTATACCCATATTATTAAATCATATTATGCCCATATTATTATTTGTTTATGCGTAAGGCGAGTGACGTATTGCGGACCTCTTGCCTTATCACGTGATCCATAACTGGTCATGTGACCTGTTACTACAGGACAGGTTTACGTTCAACAAAGAGAGATATCTTGTCTAAATAGATTGTTTGATGTTTTTTGTTGTTGATGGGATGATTGTTTGATTGGAATCGATGAGCGATTAAGTTGCATTGGCTTGTATAGAGGCAAGCATACCATTCTTTCCAGAACACTTACAGCATCCGTAAGCAATTCTCGTATACCACGCGCTGCAGTTGCGCTCGACACGTGTGAACTGGGCCCCATATTTGCGTAATAACCGGCATGTGTCGCACATTCGTATCAACATTATATGAAATTACGTGGGTTAGTCTGTAGAGATATTGTGCCGGTAACGGTGGCGCTATTGTAGATGTTCTCACTCTCCCGTACGCTCTACGTAAACATAAACGTTGAACATACACATTAACATTGAAACTCGGGCATATACCAATAGACACGCGCGCACGCGCACACACACACACACACACACGCGCACACACACACACACACACACACACACACACACACACACACACACACACACACGCATACACACACAACCAAACATATACAGAGTTACAGACAGACACATAGAAAGAGAGACAGACCCCCCCCCCCACACACACAGAAGGGGGAGGGAGGGAGAGAACATAGAAACCATATATACTTATACACAATAAATCAATGATTGTAATCATAGTTTGAAATAGGACACGATACTGTTCTGACACACGCAACGCGTTGCCATATTGTATATAATATATTGTATTGGCAGCATGTAACAGTTGACAGAACGTAATACGCTGATAAAATGTAACGCGCTGACAGAATGTAGCAAGTTGACAGCACGTAACACGTTGACAGCATGTAACGCGTTGATAGTATAGTATGTATCACATTGACAGCATGTAACAAGTTGAAAGCTTATGATACGTTAAAAGTATGCGACACGCTGATAGCATGTAGCAAGTTGACAGAACGCAAGACGCACGTGCAGTGTTGTCTAATTTGTGTTGTTATTGCAGTGTTCGCGAATTTGATCACGCTCTCATATTTAGTCAGGACAAAAATAGTGTAACATCAATTATTATAGTAAGATAATGTATATCTTACAATAATAAATATATAATGCAAAAAGCTTATATTGTAAATAATGAGGTAATGCTATATAATAATATCGGTATTATATATATATACTACTAATATTGTATAGTTATTTGTTCTGTTTAAAAAATGACTCTCCTACTAAAGTCTCGCGTATGTTTCTTACCGTTGATACTGGCTATATCTTCCTCTTAAGTATCCAAGACTAGTGCACCACTTAAGGATTGACGGCGAGTAGTAATTCTATCTATTGTAGTTTCTCTTTTAGTGAAGTTGCCGGTGAAAGATAATGCCAGTGCGTCCAGATGGGAGACACATCGCTCGACGCTCTCGTTTAGGCATGTGGATACTTCGGTACGTGAGACGTCGGCGTCCGTCAAAAATTTCGCGGCGGTACCTCGCCATCATTGGTCAGGGGAACGTCGTCACACACTGGGTCATTGCGACTTCCTACTGAATTCTGATCGTGAGTCCGCACATGCTTGATGCTCGGGCGCGAAACCTGTTCCTCGAGGAGGCATTTTCTTCCGAATGCCAATACAGTCGGCATCCATCCTTCTCGCACCCTCCCCCTCCCCCAAGAGAATTACAGAGTACCCTTTACTAGTGCGCTCACATTAAACTAGACCAGCGGTTAATGCAACAAGAGCACGTAGGGCGCGCCTTCCGGTCGCAAACGCAGGGCGCAGACGTAAAATCTCGTTTAACTTGTTTCGGGTCTCAGAAATACGTCGGAATATATGCGAGTATATACGCCACGACGGCTGCGCGTTTCTTCGGTGCCGGTTCTATTCAATACGATGTCAATAGGAGAATAAGTGTACGATTTTTTCCCGCTATAAGTTAGATCTGTATGTTCGTCTGAGAGAACAAGAACGTATTTGTATGGGCGAGGTGGGGCGATTCGCGCACGTTTGAACCGTGGCTCAATTATTGAAAGCCACTCAAGATATGAAAGGTTTGAGATAGGTGATTGTAAGAAATGCTTTCAGGTGATTCCCATCGCACGGAAATGACATCCGTTGAAGCTGATTTTACATGAATACTTATTAACTCATATACTATGAACACAGCTTTGTAATCCGACCCCTGCTTAAGCTCTTGCGTGTGCTCGCTCGATTTTACCGCGCGAATGCGAAAACGGTTTTTAAGCGCTTGAACCTTCAACACCTAATCCTGAAGCATATATTTACTTCTCTATCAATCCGTATCCTGGCTGATAATCAGAAGGAAATAGCAAGAGTAACCGCGATACCGCATCGCACACGCTCAGTGTTTATTCGTCTGTGTTAAAAAGGAAATCAGCAAATGGCTCAGCTTGTATTTCCTTGCTAATTCCTTGTTAACACTTGTGTTCTCGATCTCCGTGTCTATGTAAGTCTTGTAACTAAAGTAGGTGTTCGTAATTCGAACTTAAACGACGTGATTGCGAGTGTGTAATTAATATCAGCCCGGTGCAACCGCGTAACACCTTGAAAGGTCGTCACCATTACCAGCTTTTGTTCTCAATTACCGTTTCATTGACGATCAATCAGGTGCGTGCATTACCGACGTCATTATTTTCAGTAAACCCATTCGTCGCCTGGGCAATATTATGTGCGCGCTTATTATATTATGTTACGCGCTTCCAGCATGCACTACTATCTGCCCTGCGGATAGAAGACAGTTAGTGAGATTGAGTGAGAATCGAGCGAGAGAGAGAGAGAGAGAGAGAGAGAGAGAGAGTCCCGCAGACACGCAGACAGACAAAAAACATGCGAGAGGGGGCGTGACCATGAAAGAGAAGGGGTCAGATAATAAAACAGTCCAGCTAACCGGCAGTGCGTCGGCAGAGTAGCCGTTAGAATTCCTGTTATGTTACGCGATGTTCCTGTTATGTGTGCGCGGTAGCTAGGGTCAACGGCGGTAAGACGCCCGCGGCGATACGTGGCGCATTCCGGTCAACGATCGGTGCGAGACTCGCACGGAGAATATCAAAATACAGTGTTGAAGACGCGTTTTATTAGAGAGAGAGAGAGAGAGAGAGAGAGAGAGAGAGAGTTATTTCATGAAACGAATCCGGAAATTAGACACGACTAGCCATGCAGAAGGTAACTGACTGTGACTCTTGTATTGGGAGATGAAGGTGGAAGACGTCTTAAATTTAAAAACATGTTAAAGGTCATCTTTTGTGTATTATTCAAAATGTTTTATTGGGAAAATTAAGCATGACTGTATTCACGAACACACATTACACAATATATTTGCACTTGATTGTAATATATCTAAATTTGATTGTCTTTATTTACATGGATTTTCCTAATTTGTTATTATAATATGTTATTATTTATCATATTAAGTAATTATAATATATAGTCATTTATGAAGTTCTTGTAAATGTTTGCGTCTTGGTTGATATGATTATCGTATGAGTCAATTTAGTTCTATTCTATACTTTATATAGGAAGTAGATTCAGTGACTGCACGCATGGTGGGTCCGCAATCAAAACACGGCTACAGCTCGTACAATATACTCCTCTATTTCTTAATGCAATTGTAAAAAATACACATGTATTCACAAAACATCTCCACACAGGAACAGGTACACACACAGTGCGCGCGTCATTAGCGGCGGTTAGGCCCAGAACGAGGCCACCAGTGCGAAACACGGCTCGGCACGGCGCGCATCCTTGCCACTATGCACACAACCTTTATAACATCACGCCGACTCGGCGTGCACTTATTACACGAGCTTGATCGGGCGCGTCCGGCCCAGGCCATCGGCGTAACCCCCCCCCCAGCGCTAATCGAAAAAGGTGTGTGGATAACCCGCGCAGGTAGAGATCGAGGGCGTAGCGAGCGAGGAAGGGCGCATGTATAGGCAGGGGGAACGCGGTCGCTAAACTGTCGATTGTTCGAAGCGTTTTAACATCACAAATACGCGACGGAGCGTCTAACCGCGATAGGTATAGCGACCTGCTCACACCTCCAGTCCGTGGTACCGGATCGGGTAAGCCGATTCAGCGGTGAGCACTTGCGCGCGTTAACAAGTACCCGATGATTCGGATCAAGTTAATTCCCGAAATTCAACGCAAATATCAAGGCGCAACCATTTAAGCAGAAACGTTGCTCACGCTCGCTCGCTTGCTGTCGGTGCATCGTCTGCTATACGTACATGAGATATGTGTGTGTGTAGGCGTGGAAGGCTTGCAGTCACGCTGTGTTCCTTCACGCTGCCACATCCAGTGTAAGGTGGCCGAATAGAATTGTCAGACCATGCCCTCACACGGTTCGCGCCACGACGTCGTATCTTGTTTAAGATACCGGAAATAGAATTACACGGTCGTGCCTACACGCAGCACCTTTCCTGACGTCATAACTAGCGTAAGGTGCCCGGATATAGAAATTCATGGCCATGCCGTAGCGCGGCTTTCTACATGACGTCATATCTGGCGTAAGGTGATAGGAAATAGAATTGCAAGCGTGAGATTATCTCGCTGGACCGTCATGTCAGTAATGGGCGCCATTGTCGTCCAGCGGGCCCATCATCATTTCGTTAGGGGGCGGATGCATCGGTAGTCTTGGTCCGCCCACCTGCTCCACCCTCCCGTACGAGTAGGCCTGTGAATATAAAATCCGTAATAAATAAAAATAAACCGCTGCATTATAAACATATGATTACGTAATTTACCTGCAGGATACTATAGCTATATACATATATATATATCAAGAGCTAATAATACCTCTTATTAGCTCTTGATTAGTATTATTAGCTCTTGATATATATATATATGTATATATATTCTACACACTGTCCTTGATACCACAGCTATAGGTAGCTTCGCCGAGCTTAGCTCTAGAACTATAGCTCTTCGCTCTGCGAGTTCTAGAGCTACGACGCGTTTGCGTGAGAACGCGGGCAGCAGCCGCAACAGAGAACGAACGCACCTAAATCAATCCGCATGTTAGCAGGTATTATTAGCTCTTCATGTTATCTGTTGCTGGCATCGCCCGAGGTGGACAACGCGCGGATTAGTGATATACGCACCCTGTTTTTCTGTCCGCTGTGTTCCCACAGCAAGGTCAGGTTCTCTGACCTCAGCGAGGGCAGCTGCACGAAGTCTTCAACGAGCTCCTTTTTGAGTCCGTAGACGTGAGAGTGGTAGAAGAACCATTCGTAGACTAGCAGGTCGTTGTTGCGCACGTAGTGAAAGCTGATAGGGTGATAGGCACAGCAGTGGTGACCCTGTCGAGAAGAGTACAGTGATACAAAAAGCGCGTAAACTATTTATGTAAACTATAGTTGGTATACTATACACTACATGAACTAGTTATTACATATACGCACAGCGTATAAACTATCGCTGAGAGGGTCTATGTCCCCCGGGGTACTGCCGGAACGTACCCTGGGTACGGTCCGGTATACCGGAACGTACCCTGGTACTATCTAATATGCCGAACCGTACCTCGCCTACTCCACTAACGAGTCTAGGGAGTCGCCTACGCCTACTCCCTAACCCGAACCCGAACCCTAACCCAACCCTAATCCTAACCCTAACCCTAACCCTAATCCTAACCCTAACCATATCAAATAGTGACCAGGGTACGTACCGGAACGTACCCAGGGTACGTTCCGGCAGTACCCTGGGGGATATAGACCCTATGAGCTAAACGCTCCCATGGTTTTTAAGCGCAAGTCACACACATATACACATACACGCGCGCGCACGGACGCACGCACGCACGGGGTTAACACTTTGAATTGTGACGAATAGACGCAAAGAATATTTGGTCACTTTGTATAAAATCCAGAGCCAACCCGTACCGTCGCGCACCGTCGCGCACCGTATCGTATTACTTTGCAATTTTCACAGTGCAAGACTCATTGCATACCAAAACACGCATCCCAACTTGGTAATGACAGTATGATGAACCTCGACGGATGACAGTTTATGACAGATACAGGGTTAGGCTCTCGTCACGCTTCGAAGCGGTGTATTTATCTTGATGTGTTTCTGATGTTAGGCGTGTGGGGTATGGCGAGAGGGGCCGACGCGGTACGACTTACTGGTGATTAATATAACATTACGACGTCTTTTAGTTATCATACAAGCATGACTCTGCCATTTTACATGGCAACCCGTGTACCGCAACTAAATCACACTATTGCCACGATAATCCGCATCTAATATTCATCAGGCAACACCACGCCAGCTTTAAGTGTGCATTCATTTTGAATCCGATATCTAGTACGATAAGTAGAATATTTCGGTGCTAAGCATCGCGAGCCGGACTGTCGCATTTAGGGGGGAGAACGGCCACAAAAATCACCGTCTCTAAATATTTACTTTGTGTCCTGTGTACACACTCTATTATAAAAAACATCGGGAAGCAAATGCAAATATTGGAGGGCATGACTCAACAAAACACGTCGGGTATTTCAGCGGATGCAGGATTCCGACTAGACCCGGCATTTTTTATCTCCTGTAAAGCCCGGCGCACACGTGGCGATTTTTATCGCTAGTACCGGCGATTCTGTTGCCGGCGACAAAATCGCCGAGAAATCGCCACGTGTGCGCCGGGCTTAAGTGTTACGGCCCCATCCTCGGGGCTCAGCATGGGATATCACCGTCGCGTGCTTCGCACATGAGACGATCGTTATCCTCGGAAGCTGCGAGCGCGAGAGAAAGTCACGCTGTCGTAATTCTGCGCTCACACTTTAGCTCACACCACACATCTCACGTCACGTATCAGGCAGTACGCACCACGCATCATACATCACACCACATATCATGTATATCACGCATCACCCACAACGCATCAAACATCACACATATTGCACAGTATACATCACGCACGCATCACACATCACATCTCCGCCCACACTGCATAACAACAAGAGCCCATTAACCACTCGAAGTACTCGATTTTTATCGCTTTATATCTCGGCATAGGAACATCGTAGAGACAAGCGGTTGCTCTTATATTGGCTAGCTATGACTCCTGCATAATATGCCGGTAGATAAATATCAAAATAAGGTAGGTAAACTTTATTAATTTTGCTGAAACGACACCATGGTTTTCCTATTTCAGCGTTGTACGCTCTGTGGTTAATGGGCTCTTGATATCAACCATCACACGTCACATCTCCGCCCACAATACATATCATACATCACACATCACATATCCGCTCACACTACATAGCACATATCACCCACCACGTATCATCACACGCAACATATCACGCGTCACACGTCACATCACCTCACAGCCGCACGTGCGAACGACCGACCGACAAGGCGAACGAGAGGGGCGAGCGAACTTACACCCACGGCGCGGTCGGTGTCGAAGTTCAGATACCAGTTCGGGTATTTGGCCGTGAGATGCGACTTGATGGGGAAGACGAGGAAGCGCTCTCGACCCAGCTCGTCTCGCGTGTCCACCGGCGTTGCGCCAACCCACTGCAGACACCTGCAATAAAACGCCCCGGTATACGACACGCCGACCAGTCGCCTATGAATATGATCAAGAGGTCATAATAGAGAGCTCGCTATTATGAGCTCTTGATATGATCTACCATATAGCCGATTTAATGACTGGCGGAAGAAGGAAGGCTTGGGCTGCTGCTGCTGCCTGCCTGCCTGCTTGCCCCGGTACATGTCGATGGCACTGGCGTTTACCTGAGGCCTTTTTGGCGTGTAGCTGTAATAATTGCGCCATATAATATAATAACCTATATAGTTTATAGTATATACATCGTACCCGTCATAACCACCAAGGGCTATATCTCGTTGATATGGTCTCGGCTCGCCACATCACTGGCTAGTTTTAACTTAACCCTTGTTGAGTCAGTCGGATATAACTCGCTGCGAGTGACTGTGGGTGTGGTGATGATTATGAAAGCGCACGGGAAGCTATGTCTCGATCGATATGATCGATCGATATTATCGATATGATCGAGGAATATATGCCACCAGGTAATTGTGTGGCGATGAGTGTGTCAAATTGTATAACTAATGGGAGGAACTCGTTGCCAATAATTAGAATGTAATAAACATATTTGAGATACTGCTGTGTTTGTAGACACGCACGTACGGAATTACAGACATACTTCATCACGTTCACACACGCGCACACACACGCACACACACACACACACACACACACACACACACACACACACACACACACACACACACACAAAGAAACAGGAAACGTATATCCCGTCATTTCGCCGACCCTTCCTGCCGTACTTCCTGCCGTACTTCCTGCCTCACCACATCGTCTGCCGCTGCGCCGTATCCACCATCCACCGACGTACGACGCTCGCGCATGCGCACCGGCGCGACGTCTTACTCACGTCGTCGGCTCGGCGACAATCCGGGAAAATCCCGCGACGAATCTTTATGACGTCGGTGTCTTTCAGCGAGCAGGCGCTCAGTAATCCAGGCTGCTTCACGGCGTGTCAGCCCGCGTCAAAATACGGTCTTGTTAAATCCCCATTACTGCGAATAATGCGACCGAGGCGAGCCGAAATGAAAGACATAAACAAAATTTTAATTTCCATTTAATCACCTGGCTTCGTCCTGATCCCCTCACTGTCACACCGACCCGGTGCTAGATTAGCACTTTGCAATTTACACCTAATAAACAATGATGTGCCTGACGTCGCCATCGCCCGCGCGTGATCTCTCACAGCGCCCCCCTGCGGTCGCATCGTCCTCTCGATATATGAACAGCGCACGTATAGAAGACAGCAGTAGTATATGGTTGTATATGGTCGGATGTGGCAATCCCGATATATAAATCTAATCATGGAGAAGATCCGGGATGAATGCAGACACGACTACTATCGATGAAAATGAGTTTGCTTAAATCTGAAACGAGCCACGTGCTATATACGTGTGACTTACACACGCGCGCATATACGGCTGGAGATTGCGCGTGTGTCACTGCACAACCCTCCCTCTTCATTTATTCATCGCCCGCTACCACCGAGGAAAAAAATGCGCATTGCCGCATCTATAGGGGAGACATGATTTGTGACGTGACAAACGACATGGCTTGCCGCCATCATGTGTGTATGATATATACGTATAATTACAAGCCGTAAATGCTGGTATATACTTATAATTATCTGTATATACGGACGACCTGGTTGCTCACATTTTTTGGGATCACTCTCTGTCTCTCTCTCTCTCTCTCTCTCTCTCTCTCTCTCTCTCTCTCTCTCTCTACTGCCGTATTTCTCCCGCGCTTTTTCTCGCTGCGCGTCTGCCATCGTGTCTGCCTTCACACCAACGCGTACTTTAAACTTTATCAATACCTGCATGATCTATTCACACAATTTAAATATTCAATTAATTCTGTTATATAATCACACACCAATGAAAGCTTGAGGTAAATAATCAACTAAAAACAATAGAAAACGTGTTTACCAGTAAAATGCGTTACAACTACGCCCTACAACATGACATCTACCACCTCCGATAGTTAGAAATATAACATCACCATAGGCAACCGTTCTCCTGCTCGTTAGTATTTGGCTGCTGTATTACTCACACATTAATCATGTATCTATCTATCCATCATGGCGTAGTAAAACATGCAGAGAAATGGAACAGGGGCGGAATATCACATCTGCTTTGTCAGTTTGATGTGATGCTACTGGACAAAGGATAGGATAACGTATTCCCCTCTCTCTATGATAGGAGCAGTTACTGTAAAACTAAACGTATACAGTTAATAAAAAATCCAAAATATAGTGAACAAAACTTTTATATTCATAGTACTCATTTAGGAAATACGTATATAACGTAAAAGACTTCTTGATAACTGTCTATTATTACAACTATTGTATATTCTACGCAATCAGAAACTATAAATCGGTAAAGTGTTCTCTTGAAGTCATTCAGACATGCGTCTCACATTTCTACTTATTTTCATTGTTAATTTTATACCGATCTTGCGTAGCTGATTCGCTCGTGCAATATCAGACATAACAAGTGTGTACATATCTGTTACCGTTAACTTACTTGTCTATACGGTTAGCATAGGTAAACACAGTTAAACACAGGTGTACCGGATCTCAATTGTTTAATCATTACGGCGTTTAGGGCCGTTTTTACCTCTTTATTTTGCATAGAATATCCGCTGCTCAATGTTAATTATTTCAGTACACAGTGCTAAACGAACTCAATGGAACGCGGCGTGCGAGACAGAATAGAAATACGAGTAAATGCGACGTACGAGTTCATTTGCGCTTGGATAGTAATCACCAATCGCTAGTCGCCGACCGACGGACACCGCGAAAGAAAGTCATTTAGAAGTCGTTAGAGGTTCATAGTCGTAATGCCGCCCGAAAGCAACTGTTGTCATTCCATCTAATGTTCGGTGCTAGCTGTACGCGCGCTAACGATGGGTTTATTAGTTTATTAGAGTTCTGCGTCTAGTTTACATTCAGTGCTGCCGTCCGCGGAAGACAATAACGAACGTCTTTCATTATCGTCAGCAGATTACTTGATGTGATCGCATCTCTATGTCATGCCCAGGTGACACGCTGGTGACACGCTGGTGACACGCTGGTGCGGCGATGTCCGAGCATTGTTTTTAGCGACACACAAGCATCGTGTGCGTCGTTCGTCGGCGTGTCTGGTCGCGCGTGGGGAGGGGCGTGCTCACAGAGCGGGGTGGGGGGCAGAGCGCTGTGCGGGAGGGGGAGGGCGGAACAGAGCGGTGAGGAGGGCGGAGGGGACAGGGTAGCGGTGGGAGAGGAGCCGCGCACGTAGGACATGAGCGCGTGGGGCGAGCGGGACGAGGAGGACAGAGCGGTGGGGCGAGCGGGCGACAGTGGGACAGAGCGGGTTTGTGGCGGCGAGGGGCGGACGGGGGCAGAGCGGTGGGGAGGCGGCGACGGGTCGGACAGAGCGGTGGGGAGGGGGACAGGGACACGCAGCGGTGCGGGGAGGGGACGGGGACAGACGGTGGGGAGGGCGGACCGGGGACAGAGCCGGTGGTGGAGGGGGACGGGGACCAGAGCGGTGGGGGAGGCGCGCGACGGGGCAGGAGCGCGTGGCCGGGAGGGGCGACGGACAGAGCGCGGTGCGGGGAGGGGACGGGGACAGAGCGGTGGGCGGAGGGACGGGACAGAAGCGGTATGGGGGCAGGGGGACGGGGGTCAGAGCCGGTGGGAGAGCGTGAGGAAGACAGAGCGGCAGGGGGCGCAGGGGGACTGGGGACAGAGCCGGTGGTGGAGCGGGCGACGCGGGGCAGCCCAGCGGGTGGGGGAGGGAGACTGGGGACCGGTCGGCCGCCCAGCAGCAGTGGGGGAGCGGCGGGGGGCAGAGCCGGGTGGGGGAGGGTGAGTCGAGGACAGAGCTGGTGGTGAGGGGCGGACGGGCACAGAGCGGTGGGGGGAGGGGCGACGGGGACAGAGCCGGTCGTCGTGGCAGGGGGACGGGACAGAGCGGTGGTGGAGGGGGACGGGGCAGAGCGGTGGTGGAGACGGGGACGGGGGCAGAGCAGTGGGGGAGGGGGACAGGGACAGAGCGGTGGGGAAGGGGGAGGGGGGCAGAGTGGTGGGTCCCTGTCATCTCTCATCGTCACCTATAGCAGCGTGGAGGATGAGACAGGCTGAGACACAGCCACCTTACATCGTCACCTATAGCAGCGTGGAGGGTGAGACAGTCTGAGACCCCGTCACCTTACATCGTCACCTATAGCAGCGTGGAGGGTGAGACAGTCTGAGACACCGCCACCTTACATCGTCACCTATAGCAGCGTGGAGGGTGAGACAGTCTGAGACACCGCCACCGGTGTCTCAGACTGTCTCACTCAGACTGTCTCACCCTCCACGCTGCTATAGGTGACGATGTAAGGTGGCCGTCACCTATAGCAGCGTGGAGGGTGAGACAGTCTGAGACACCGCCACCTTACATCGTCACCTATAGCAGCGTGGAGGGTGAGACAGTCTGAGACACCGCCACCTTACATCGTCACCTATAGCAGCGTGGAGGGTGAGACAGTCTGAGACACAGCCACCTTACATCGTCACCTATAGCAGCGTGGAGGGTGAGACAGTCTGAGACACCGCCACCTTACATCGTCACCTATAGCAGCGTGAAGGGTGAGTCAGTCTGAGACACCGCCACCTTACATAGACGCCCTCATCCCATCCATACTTAGTCTGTCTTGACAGAGCTGGGTCGCCGCGAAACGCATTTCCTCGCCCACCCATACATTTATCGCTGGTTTGACTTATCGTGTCATGTTTCACGCGTTATAGAAGTCGTTGTCAGCGACATTCTGGATCGGTTTCGTGCGTAGAGAGTTAATTCTCGCTCTATCACACAGCCATACCCATGTTTAAACGTATAATAGTCCCCAAGTTACTATCGTTTTCACTTTCTTGTTTTTTTTATTTAATTTATTTAAGTGCGGGTTATTTGTTGAAATGGTTTTTACCTTCATTGCAATGACGTTGTGTGTTATAAGGAGGAAGAATTGACGCGATTCTTCCACCAATACACATCATCGTCTTCTTCAATTATTTACATCTACGCGCACACGTCATCGCACGTCATCACACGTCATCGCAACCCACCGTTCTCATTGCGGCTCTCTTAATGTCGCACACGCGTGCAAATCTCACTCAAACAAGTTCTCTATCTCGCGCGCGCACAAACAAAGCAGCCTGTCTAGGATGCTTGCCTCACATCGTGAGCGATCCACGATGAGCGGCAGGGATCGCACGTGTAATACCATTAATTAGCCATCACCGGTCGATATGTGTTTTCCTAAGTCGCGGACCCGCTACGACGATGCCGGCCCATAAAAAGTTCAAAGGTGCCGACGGTTTCGCGGCCAGCGTCTTTGTACTTTGACAATGGTGCGCAAAGTGACTAGTGCTGTCTCAGTAGACAAGTGTGCGACAGATCCACCGACGGCAACTAGATACTCACGCATTTTTTATCTGACATTCTTTTAGCGCGCGTGCGCTATATTGGTAAAAACACGTTTCGGAAAACGCAGTAGCAACATGAGTGTTATCATGAAAATAGCTGAGCTGATGCTGGCACCGCTACCGCGCGCGTTTCCAACAAGCACATACGGGTCTCTGCGCGACGAGCCAATCATATCGCGCCGATGTCGAACGCTCCAAACAAATGGCGTTCGATTATCTCTTAATTGCTACCCGCCTCGAATTAATCACCACGCATCATGCTTTCTCCCGACGGTGCAGATTCAAACGCACCGTGCGCGTGATTTACAATATATCCGTGGCCGTATATATAGCGTGCGCCGCCACTGCGTGGTCTCGCTGCTGCGATTTTATGACCGTCCCACGGTCAAAAGCCCGGGACATTCCGAGGCGCAGGCATTACTCAGTGATGGTCGCTGCAGTTCACCTGCCTGCATGCACTCTCTCTATCTACCAGCAGTAATAGCAGCAGCAGTAGTAATAGCAGCAGTCGTAGTAGCACGTATATACAGCTAGCGGCTTCAGCCTGGTAGGAGAGAAACACCGGCTTTCATAATTTCACGACCACGACTACACGGCTGCATCGCACGTAGATTCAAGTTATTCTCTGCAGTTTCCCGACGTGTCTCTACTAACTTTTGCCTGTCGACGACAGTTGTTGTTGTTGTTGTTGTTGTTGACGAGTATAAGGGCATCGCAGGGAGGTAGACTCGATCATGTCGATGAGTGCAGCACAGAGCAGGCAGGCGGTGGAAACTCCCGTGCTAGCGATGAACGGAGGACCGGCTTCATCCCACAGCAAGCACGCGGCGCTACCGACGGAGAGCAAATACACGAGTAAGGAAGCTTGTCAGGGCAAGGAGAAGGAGAACCTCAAAGACATCGCTGGCGAAGGCAAGAAGATAGGTAGGTTGTTTATTTGTTTACGGATTGTTGTTGTTGTTGTTGTTGTTGTTGTTTACGAGTGTCTTCTTTAATCAGTTGGTGTTTGTGTGCATGGTGGTTGTAATGACACGCTTATACTGTCCACTCTAACAATACTATGGTTGTTATTATAGTAAAATTTAGAATATTTGCATTACATAACCAAGCGTCACACACACACACGCACACACACGCACACACACGAGTAGGCCCTACGCACACACACGCACACACACGCGCGCGCGCACACACACGACTACAGCACACAAACACACACACCACAACACACACAAACACACAACACACACAACACATAGAACACAATCGCCGCAACAAAAAACAACATTTAAACACCGATTAGACACGCGCCGCGGCAATGGACACGCAACACACGAAAAACAAACAAATCAATTAACACACACAGCACACAAGCACACACATCCATTGCAAATAGACAAAGAGATAGATAAGAGAAAGGGAACGAGAAAGACAGAAGAATTAGAGAGAGGGAGAAGAGGAGAGAGAGTAGGTGCATCTGACTCGACCGCTCGTAGTCCAAATGCTGGAGAGAGAGAGGAGAGAAGAAGCAAGCGGCCCGCGAGAGACGAGGGGAACGAGAGCAAATTTACTATGCTTAGATTAATCGGTAAAAATGTTCTATGTTTTACGCGTTAACTACAACAGTTTCAGACTATTAATATTACTATTATTTATTTGCGTGTATTTTATTGTGTCTATTATTTTTGTATTTTTGTGTTAATATATTTTATGCGTTTATGGCAGGTACTTGAGAACAGTATAATTCTATTAAGGTCAGATTCAGATTGCAGAATCTTTTTTGAGATATAAATTTGAAAGAGAATTATTCTTAGACGTTTACCTACTAGTCATGGTACATTAGAACGTAAAGTATATTACTATACAATACAAAACACGTCTCTTATACTATATATATTATATAATATATTATATATATAATACGATTACGTCGATGCTCCAATGATATAGATGTAATGAAAAATATATAATGAAGACGAATGATGAACGAATGAATGAATGAATTTATGCAACGAAAGAACGAATAAATAAATAACGAAGCAAATGGACGGGGGAAACGAATCTGAATTAAATAATAATAAATTAATGAAAGAAGGAAGAAGCAGAAGAACATGAATGAAGAGATGACTAGGTAATGGATTGTAAATAAATGAATAATAAAATAATAATGCTGATCGTGCGCATGTATCAACGAGTAAGCGTCCCGCGTGACAAGTTTATCTGTTGATGTATGTACAGCAGACTACGATGCTGTTGGAGGGCATCTCCCATTACACCTAGTCGCTAAGGCCCGATGATACCGCAGCTTAATATAAGTAGAGACACAGGGGCACAGTATGTCGCTCCATCGTATATAAGTAATGCTTTCGACTCCATATTTTGACGAATGTCGCAGCTCGTTTTTTATACATAAACTTAGATTAACGGACAAAGCGTCGCAGGTACGTGATGGGTAGCTGGCTGCGGACGTTTACTATTGTCGGGCTATTGTCCGGTGTGCTTATTGCTAAATCGGTACGATTCACGGTAGATAGGCTAACCGCAAACGATAGATGTGGCCGCGAGCTGGTGAAACGGTGTTTGCATTGGTATGCTCGATGAGCCTGATTATTAGGTTTATCTATGTCCGTGGCCGGGACTGAGGCAACCCAATGAGCAGCGGATAATCAAATACATCGTATGTACAGATACATTCGATGTGTACGTGTTCGGAATGCAGATCGAAGTTGTTCCGAGATGGTTTTATCAGCGTAACGGCGGGCGCAGCGGAGCCAGCGAATAGGGCCAGTTGGAAAATAGTATTTCATGCAGTAGTCCGGATGTTGTTCGTTCAACGCTGAGGCGTTTCCAGTCACTGCACTGGCCTGGAATCCCCTGTCATTAGTTTGATGTATAAATATATTATATATATATATATTTATAGTATATAAGTAGAGAGAGAAGGAAGAGAGAGAGAGAGAGAGAGAGAAGAGAGAGTGGAGAGAGAGAGAGAGAGAGAGAAGAGATAGATAGAGTAGATTAGATGATAGATAGAATAGATAGATAGATAGAATTAGATAGATAGAAGTAGATAGATAGATAAGTAGATAGATAGATAGATAGATAGATAGGATAGATAGAGTAGAGTAGATAGATAGAAATAGGTAGATATGATAGATAGATAGATTAGATTAGACTCCCAGTAATTTTACAATTATATAATAATAATAATAATATTTTTTATTATTTAATTATTATTATTCGATTACTATTATTATTATGATATAGTATTAGGTTATATAAGTATTATTATATTGCCAGATTAGGCAGAACTACCCGGAATACCGTTATTCGCATATATTACTAACAAAGACAAGAAAGGGAAAAAATGCGTGCGGGCTATTGTGAATGCAATCGTGGTGGCCTATTTAAAATATGTTAATGTGATATCATTTTACATAGTTTGTTCTTGGTTTATGAAGTTATGAAAGGTAACCACGATTTATTTCTACTTTCTTTTTTTTCTGTTTTCTCTCCTCGCCCCCTTATCTTCGTCTCTCTCTCTTCTATCTCTCTCTCTCTCTACTTTCTTAATGTATAATTATATATATATATATATATTATTATATATATATATTATTTATATAGTATATATATATTTAGTATATGATGTGTGGTGGGGGTACGCCGCCGCGCGCGGTGTTGTGGTGTAATATACAGGTGATATATATATACTATCAGGAACGCAGACACTATGTTAGAGCTATAGAACTATATACTACAAAGCAGTTTACGGAGACAAAATACGGTTTATGGACTCTTGATAGTATGTGTATTTAAATTCCATGTCGCATTACATACTAAAATATGTTTGTTTAGAGAGTCGAATAATAAATTCATATGAATCATTTTCGAATTTAGCTAATTGCAATTATTGGTTCTATTTCCTTCACTATAACGTTAATTTAGATAGTGATGAGGCAAGGATAACGATGAAATGTAATTGGAAGTACAGCATGCGTGACTGAGTCACATCTAGCAAGATGTGGGACACTTAAACAATACCAATTGTTTATGCGATGACGTATGGAATGATTAATGATAACTTTTCGACAGAAATCGATAAAGTGCCCACGCCCTGTCGAGTGATTGTGAACATCACATAACAATTCGCCGAGCCTCTTTAGTGCAATTCATCTCCAGCTGACCGCTAACAGAATCTCTAATCATCATTAGAACACGCGCGCGCGCGTACACGCACGCATGCACGATGATACACGCTCCCGCACATGCGCGCGCGATCCGCGGTGACGCATGTATGCCACACACATCACAACACAACATACAAAACACAAACCATACACACACACACACACACCACATCACACACACACACAACACACAACACACACATAACACACACACACACAACAACACAACACACACAACACATGCAAACACAACCAACACACACACACACAAATAACACACATAAACACACACAACAAGCACCAACACACACACACAACAGTACACACAACACACACACAAATACACACACACAACACATACATACATACACACACACAACACACAAACACCACAACCACAACACAGCACATCAACATACACACACAACAACACACACAACACACACAAACACAATAAGACACACACACAATCACACACAACAACGCACAGACATAACACACATTACACCAACTATCACATCACACTCACAACAACACGCACACAACATAATACACACAACAATACACAACACACACACACAAACAACAACACACACGACACTACAAACACAACACACACACAACACACAAACAACACACATACAACACACAATCACACACACAATCACCAACAACACACACATCATGCAACAACACAATCACACAAACAAACACACCACACACATACAATACAACACACACACACACACCACAACACCACACTCACACAAACACACAACACACACACACACAAACACACCCAAATAATCTACCAGACACAAACACCACAGCAACACAACCACACACACACAAAACACAAGAAACAAGGAAACGTATATACCGTGATTTCGCGACCTTCCTGGGCGCGTTTTGCCTATTCCTGCTCACCACATCGTCTGCCGCTGCGCGTATCCACATCACCGGACGTACCGACGCTCGCGCGCATGCGCACTGGCAGCGATACGTTTTATCACGTCGTCGTGATCGGCGACAATCCGGAGAAAAATCTGCGACGATCTTTGTATTGACGTCCGGTGTCTATTCAGCGAGCAGGCGTCAGTAATCAGGGTGCTTCACGGGTGTCAGTCGGGTCAAAATACGGTCTTGTTAAATCCCCCATTTACTTTGACGAATTAATGCGACGAGGCGAAGCCGAAATGAAAGACATAAACAAATTTTAATTTCCCATTTAATCACCTGGCTTTGTACCTGATACCTCACTGTCACACGACGGTGCTAGATTAGCACTTGCATTTTACACCTAATAAACAATGATGGTGCCTGACGTGCATCGCACGCGCGTGATTCTCTCACAGCGCCCCTGCGGTGCATCGTCCTTGATTTATGAAAGGCAGAAGTAGTATATGGTGTATATGGTCGGATGTGGCGAATCGTCGATTATATAAATCTATTCATGGAGGAAGATCCATTTGATAAATGCTATACACGATATATCGGATTGAAAATGAGTTTGCTTATCTGAAACGTAGCCAGTCGTCATATATAGTGTGGACCTTAACAGCACCGCTGCCGGCTATCACGGCAGTTGCCGAGATGTTTGCGCGTTTCTCCGGGCACCACCGTGCTCCCACCCCGAGGCGCCCTGCTTTTCCGCCCACGTGACGCAACCCTGTGGTCAATCCTTTCGCACTAACCTCTTCGTTGATTTATTTGCGACTGCCCACCCGCTTACGC